ATCCTGGACTCCATGTGTATTCACCTACCTCCAGTGAGACTGTTAGAAGCCCTCATAGGATTCTCACTTGTGGACTGAAAACCTCATACCTCCTCAACAGTACTTATGCTGGTAATTCCAACATAATGTTTTTTCTTCCATGTGTATGAAGAAGTGAGGGAAGTGTCTGTTTGCAGTCTGCTGCAACAGAGGATGATGGCAGGCCTTCTTAGAATGGAAAGAGTGAAATTCTAGGTTGAATTCCGGATGGAAAATTTCCATCAGGATGGAAATTCATTTCAGACTGTACTGTATTGTTAACAGAAACACATGGATGTTAGGACTGGATATTTTTCACGGCTGCTAGTAATATAATTTTTAGTACTAGGATATTGCTACTATATTGATTCACCTAGTGGAAATCAACCTATTTTTTTGTCAGTTTTGGACAGGAAGATTTTAATGATTATCCAATCTGTTTCTTAGCATCAGGTAAAGCAAATGGTGTGGTTGCATCATTCAGGCATTCTAGTGTCAGCCAGAGAAGGCAAGTGGGTGTTCTGAGTTACGTGTTGTAGTGAACAAAGCAGAAAATTCAGTAAACCTAAAAGTGGGTTTTAACTGTCAAAAGTTTTACTCTAGAAGTTGCAGTCTTGAACATGCAGCAGGTAATGTGCTCTGAGTTTACCTAACATCAAGTTACAGCTACTGATTTGTTGCAAATTTCCGTAGACTTCCCTGGAAGGATTTTATGTAATTTAAGTGTAATGGATCCTGGATTGCCAGGATTCCACTGAGGGAAAAACTAAAGCCGAGTGAAAACTTGAATTTCCAGGAGTCAGGAAGGCTACCGTTTTTTTTGTCCAGAATGAGAGTCCCTTTCTTCAGTATGATATTACCAAGCAAAACTATGGCCCATTTTACCACTTAAATCAATAGTAGAAAATGAGAGCAAATATAAAAAATAGATATACATATATATACATAGGCAACACGTGGACAAATTTTCATCCCTCAGTAGAAAAGTTTAACGACTTTGTAGTTGGTTTGTAACTACTATCAGAAAGGTAGCCACTATTCTAAGTGCTTTTGTTCTTGTCTGCTGGAAAATTATATAGAGATATTATAGATATTTCAGTGTGTATATGTGTTTGGGTCATTGTTACTGCCCAAGTATTTCTTTTTTCTAAAGTCTCAGAGATAAAAATTTTCTAAGCTAGTGTCACTTTTTCTTCACAATTGATCTGCTATGACTAATGATAGTACTGCATTTCTTTGCAGTAGGCCTTCACAGTTCAAGCAAACTCATACTCTGATCATGGATTTAGTGTATTTTTAAAAGCATATAAGCTTTTTAGGGAGCCATAGTGGATTCCTTTCAGTCTTTGGAATATTCTGAGCATTATCTGTTTTTGAAGCAAACACATGCTTCACAACAGTAGTACTTTACAGTGAGTCAAAGAATATGCTCTGAATAATAACTGAAATACTGAACTTCTAGAGACTTGGAAAAGAGAAAAAATTGCTCAGGACTGGTAAGCCATATAGTCATTAAATTATACGCACACAAAAAAGGGATCTTCAGATCTGTTCTGAAATGAATGTATTTTCTGCATTCTAAAGAACCTAGAAAAATTACAGAAAATAACAAAATGAGGCTGAAGGCTAAAGAAATACATATGAAACTTGTTTATGAGAAGGTAGCCTCAGGCACTCATTCAAGGGTAAAGAAGATGATAACGTCTCAGAAGATCTAAGCTCAGTGATGAGTAACAAACTACAGTTGAAATTTCACCAGAAATATTTGATATTAGATATGGCTGCTGTGTTAGCATTTGTATATGTCCTGCCTCAGCTAGTTATTATTTTTAGAGAAATTCTTTAAGTGAAAGTAGAAAAAATTATCATGTAGAGAAGGTAGATGTTGCATCATTTCAAGAGAAAAGGCTTAACACTTGCATAGGTAAGAAAATTTGAAAAAATGGTGAGGAAAATGATTGAACTGATAAAGGTAAAAGGAAAATACTGGCCAAAACAAAATTGTCTGTAGATGATAGGTAAAATTTTTAATAGTGCAACGACTGATACTCCTAAATTGTTTTCACAGGCCACCACTGGCAAACTGTTTTTCTGAGTCATCTGAAATTGCCTTAGACAGCATAGTTGAGAGTACATTTGGTGTGAATAATGTTGCATTTCTGACTTGTGTCAAAACCTCATATGACAAGGTTGGAGTTTTTTCTGTCCTCCATGGCTATTCTGTAAATCACATTTCCACTTGCTTTATGTTAAAGCATTTATCTTTCTCACTATCACTTTGATAAAGAGTAATCTGAGCCACCGTTACCAGTTTTGATGTGATGTTGTATTTTCAGATGCCATTTATGCTTGACATACTTCTGTACAGTATATCTTGTTTTTGTATGTAAGACCATTCCAGTTTAAATAACCACATAGATGAAAACAAAAACAAACAAAACAAAAACAACCCAAAACCAGAAGAACAGCCTTTGTTACATTTCCATAGGCAGTAGGGTGAAATTGCTGCCTGCAGTGCTTGAGGTGCAGCAGCAGGGCTGCCCCACAGCAGTGCTCAGCTGTCCAGCTACATGCCGTGGTTGTCCCATCTGCCCATTTCATAGTCCAGCCTTTCCTTGCCTCTGGCTATCCCTTTTTCCGTCCCAGTCTAGTATTTGCCCACCCATAATTTGTTTTTCCTGTTGTTGCCTGTTTTGTTGTACCACACCCAAATTGCTTATTTTGATGTGACTTTGTAGATAGATGTGACTGTATGTGCTGTTACTGGTAGGTCTGTGTATGTACCATCGACAGTGTAAGATTTCCTCCCCACGAGACTTCCAAAACTCCTTTCCAGCTTTCTCTGAACCTTGTCTGTTCTCCACATAACTCTCCCTTAGAGATCTGTAACTGCATTGCCAACTTCCTTATCTGTCACATCCAGCAATTTTCCTATGTCCAGTAGTTTTTCACACCATCTTTGTTCAGCTTACTCTCTGCTCAAGGCCTAGTCATCTTCTGCAACTATAACGAGGCCCAGCTGACTGACAGACCCCTGTTGTTGCTGCCCCTGTGGAGGCTGTTATCTTGGCTTGAGCACCAGGGAGGTGAGAGTACCATTGTGCTTCATGTTGTGTGCATCAGCCTGCAGATCCCTCCCCTGCACGTGTCCTTATCTCTTAAGGGGCTTCGTGATGGATGGTGAGATGGAACACAGTCTGGAATCAGCCCATTGTCTCTTGCCTACCCATCATCCTCTTGAGGGATGATGAAAAAACAGCCATTGAAAGGTCCACTTCCCCTGCCTGCTGAGTGCCTTTCCTCTTATAGGAAAGAGATGAAACCCTGAATTTACAATAGAATCTGCTGTCTGGCTGTGGCCAGCACCAATTACACAAGTGCTATAGCTGGCAGACATTGCTGTGCAAGTGGATAGTGGGTCTCAGTGCACAGCATGAAGCACAGCAGTAACAGCTACTGCTGGGACAACCATGAGTAGACACAGAGCCAGCAAATGGAGTCAGACCAAGATGGAGGACCCCAAGCCTGTGCCACTGGTGCAGGGAGTTGCTGAAGGTTTCTGCTTCAGCCATTGGAGCAAGGGACATCTTGTGTTCCAGCAGCCAGCTGCAGTGAGAGTGGGGATAGTATGTGTCCTCTGCACAGCTGCTGGTGGGTCTGGGGTGAAGGACCAGGTATGGCTGAAGCTTATCTTGCTTCCCTTTAAAAGAGAATGCTGCATTTAAATCCTTAAAAAACAAACAGTAGCACATTTTTCCTATGTGGGGGGAGGAGGTAGAATGAAGATCATGTAAATTATTATATAGATTCTTTTTTATATAAAGAAACACCTAGATTTAATGAACAGTATTGGGTTCCAGCTCTTCATTCATAACTTCTAGCCAACTCTGACTATAAGCATGTCACTTAACCACTGTGTCCTAGTTTCACCATCTGTAAAATGCTTTTGAAAGTCATGGAAAACTGATTCATAGGTCTTTTCCATCTCTAGATTCTATTAGGTCATCCAGTCTGCCCATCTGCCAGTGTAAGTTTCCTACATTCACCAGCATTTTTCCAGTCTGAGTTCTGTGTGCCAAGTGGTTGGGCTTCCACCAGGACCTACGGGAGATGAATTTGCAGACCTTCAGATCTCAGCATGAGGAAGCTCTTCTGACACTAACAAATGCTGACACAAATACTGTAATTGACCACAAATGTTGCAGTTTACTATAAATTTTACTTAGGGTATATGCTTTCGTGCAGTTTCAGAAATTCAGCATACTTTTCTTTAAGTTGAAACCTGCAGCACTGTGATATGAACAATATCTACACAACAACTATCAGAATAACTAGCTGTCTTTGTGCAAAGTTTTCAGCACTATGAATACATGGATGTTATTTGGGCTCTGTATATCAGAAGTTAACTGCTTTTAAAGTCACCATCTGGCATATGACTGGTGTTTTACATGATTTATTAGATGCAGTGACCTAGGAAGAAAAGGCCAATACAGTGTATTTTACTGATAAGGTTAACAGATTGTTTTGTAATGCAGTTTGTATACAATATGTATGTTAATGAAAAATCTGTCAGAGGTGTGTGTTTCATGAAATATTCGACTTCTAACCAACTCCACTTGTACAGGATTTTCATTCCTAATGGAATGCTAATTCCATTCTAATGGAAATTCTTAAGGCTGGGAATGAAAATTGCATCTTCATTATATCCACAAGAGGGAGAAGGGAGGGCTCTTTGTTGTTTTCTTTGGTTGTTGTTTTACTTTTCAACTTCAATTTCGTGGTCTTAACCCTATATATTTTTGTATATCAATATGAAAATATATTATTTGCATGAAAAATTTCTAAAGATAACAACCGATCTTCTTCCTTTAAGAAATCAGTGGAAGACATGGTGAAATAATAGTACTTGTAAGGAAGATAAGCCTTAGAAAACACTAGTAAAGTCTGATCATAAAAAGAACAAATATGTCTTTCATCCACAGGAAATAAAGCCGGACCAAGTTACCAGACTTGCACTTAGGAAAGAAGTGAATTTTGAAAGTATCTGCAGAAAGGTAAGGTTTGCTGATTTTGTTGCTCTTTATCTGTGAGTGTGAGAAAATGTATGAGCCCCTTATGATGATGTATTTACCTTATGCATGTGTGTGAATAGGATTATCTACATTTGCATAGTGTGAGACTTAAACATACATATAGTTAATGGATCTTAACTATAAATCTTTCTTCTGTTTCTAAAGTCATCACTCCAATAGGACACGTCTGCAAAAAATTGTGTAGTTATTTTAGCACGAGTGGCTTTTCATTAAGGCTGGTGGACTAACATCAAGCAACAGGAATTGCGTACCAGGAAGCATAGTCTTTATAAATAGGTTTGTCATGTTTTCTAGTACATTTACATGGGTTAGTTAATGTAAATAATTATGCTTTCAACAACAGATGAAAATAGGCTTTAAATACTTGAGAGGCAGAGAGAAGTTTATCCATGTGAAAAGGACGTTAGCCTGAAATAAAGGTGAAATTTTAATGCAGCCTTTTCAACACAGTGTTTCTCCTGATGTCCACTGACTAAATATTAACTAACTAGTAATAACTGTAGGGGATAAAATGAAGACCTTGGAAAGAGCAGAAAAAAGTAGCCTTTTAAGTGATTTGCTGCAGAAATAATCTTACAAAGCAACTCCAAATCAAAAATATCAGTAAAATAAATGGTAGGTTTTCCTCCAAATCCTCCTAAATTCCTCTGGATGGGCAGCTGAGGGCTGTGGAGCATCTGAGATCTGAAAAACACATCATGCACAGTCAAAGTTTTAATGCAGTGTTTGATCATTTCCTCCTATACTGATATAATTACACTCTATCAGAGCATGGCCATGTGCGGTGCAGCTCAGTTATCAGCATAGAATGCAGCAGGATATCATTGAAGCAAAATGAAATTAGTATACTAGAGAGGTCACAAGTTGTATCTTATTGATGTATGATAACTCTTCCAAAAGTAATACCTCTTATTTTATTCTGTTGGCCCATGACATCAGAGGCAGATATGGTGGACACCATTCTGCCCCTCTGTTGCTATCTATCATATGTTCAACGCATCAGCCTTGTTCTGATTGCATTCTCAAGAAGTATAGAAGCCCCAGAATGAAATACTTGATTCAGTTGTTTTGAAGGAGTTTATGGATTTGTATGTTTGGAATTGCATTGTCTAAGAGGACAATTTTTCTTCAGATGCCAAGAATATAAAAGGGAGTATCAGTAATCTTACACATTTATTTTATCTATCCATTTATTTTCCTAAAATTCTTCAGATATAAGCAGGGGATAGCAAAAGATAGGAGAAGGCTATGAAATTTTCCTAGCCAAGGATATTTCTCTTAGATAATAGATTCTTGTTTTCATAGTCATGGCTGACTGTATATTTTCCTAATTTAGTTAAAATTGGCTTTTATTTTGCCAGAATCCTTAAAAACATATAATGCAGGTGTCTTGATGGACTTGTTTTGTTTTTTAAAATTCTTATTTGTGTCACTTTCTGCTCCTACTAGGGTTTTACACATGAAAGATCTAATCTCACCTATTATAATGAGTCTCATTTTAAAATAAACAAGTGTTTGGATGAGTTCTGATGCTATTTTAAACCAACAGTTTAACCCTACTGTTGTAGTTTTCTTAACAAGTGTTAGCTGAGCCACTGAAACCACTGTCTGGCCATAGCATTCCCAGTGCTTAAAGGAGTAACTTTTGCGTGTTTTAATAAAAGTTAATATGTCAATGTATTATTTTACCTTTTCCCACAGCTAGTTATTAATAATAACATTTGGGGGAAAAAAATCTGTCTCTAGCAGTATTCTGTAGATCCCATGAAATGTCGACCATGCTGTTTACCTTTTCATTAACTTCAGTTTTGAAATATTTGAAGCAAAACATCCTGTGGCTGTTTTCATTTTCCAAATAGGTTTGTTTTCACTGATAAAAGGCAATCTGCTTTTAATTCACTGTGGAATGCTGAATATTAGTTTTGCATAGTGGATGTGTAGTCAAGATATTTGTCTAATTCCTTCTGCCCACTGAGAGTTTATGTTCTATTACTATTTTTCCCCATATTTTTTTTCAGAATAAGATAGGCATACTTTTCTATTTAAAAAGATGTTTTCTGGGTTTCATTTATAAAATTTATAAAATATATCATAAGACAAACACATTAATATAAGAGAGGAAGCAGTGGTTGAGCTGTCCTTCGTACACCTCTGCTGAAACTCTTTACATCCATTTTCAGTATTGTTGCAGCTGGCTCAATTGCTATTAACAGATGGTAAACTCTGCTGTAAAGACTGTATTAAATGTTGCCATGTGACTGCAGCTGGACTTCATTGCTGGTGCTTAGTCACAGCTGTTGAAAATTGAACCTTTATTCTCTGGGTTTTCACTGAGCTTTTCTACAGGTTCTGTAGAAAACAGTTCTGTGCTGTCTGCAACAAACACATTTGCCAGTTGTTAGTATTAAAGAACACGTGGCAGACCTGCTGTCTAATTTTTTAAACAGATTTCCATCTGTATAGCATTTTAACGTGGTTAGTGTAGCATGTGTCCCTGAACTGTTCTGGGAGCCTTGGTTCATCAGTATTGTGCTCCAGAAGCTAATGCTAAAAAAGTTTTTCATTACAAGTTTGGGAGCAGACAAACACCAAGCACCTTTGTTTCACCTGCATTTCTTCATCAGAAGCCATTCTGTCAGACTGCCTCTCTGCTGCCATCTGTCACACAGCAACAACAATGGAATGGAATACTGGTGAGGAGGTTCAGCCTCTCCTGTTGTACCACCAACATCTGCTTCCAAAGTAGTGGACCAACATCTTAAAGCAGCAGGCATTTCTTTCGGAGCAGCCCTCATAGAACAGGCATGTTATGCATGGCCAAAGGCAGATATGCCAGAATCCAACTGAGCAGCATGGTTTGTGGTATGATTTTGATGACTGAAAGTCTAGGTTGCCTGTTGAGATTGGCTGTACTGAAGATGATTATGCAGGAGTGACATTAGTGATGTCTTGGTGTAGATATTTTAATGGTTACTTCAAGGTTGTAATGCTACAAAGTTTGGGATGTTATTTTGAAGGTGATTGAATTTAACATCCGTTGCCTATATGAATTTGTGTCCCACCCCTCAACATGTGTCTCATCAGCAACCAAAAAAGAGTAAGGGTAGGGTAGTCACAGTGCTTGTAATGCTTTGTATTCTTCCTCATAGATTTACAATGAAAATGCAGTCTATTGAAAGCATTTTATGAAATGCTGTGATATTAGAGGTATTAACCAATTTATAGCATTACAATTGCTGAATAGTTATTTGGAGCATGAGGTTCCTCAGATTGCATCAGTAAATGGTAGTCTTGGATTACAAGACATGAGGAGGACATGGTTACAAAAGAATAATTTTTATTCTAAAAAATACTCTTACCTTTAAAAACATGAATTTCCTCAGCAGGAAATTTTAAAGATAATTCAAGTACTTTTCAGCTTTGTGACATGGAAAGAAGGGAAGGTGGTGTTTCTAAATCAAGTAGAATTTCAACCAAATAGCTGCATCCAAGGAGAGACAGTCATATCTGTATTTTCTATCTCTGAATAATAGAAACGTTTCTATTTGAGTTGATGTTGTTAATAAATGTACTTCTTTGATCTTGGTTTTAATTTATTAAAAAAAACAAAAACGTACTTTTTAATGAAAAATATATTTTAAAATGTCACTACTCCCTGTGAATTTAATCTGAGGAAATGCATTAAATCATGAAAGGGGCCTGATGCATAGTCCTGTGCAGTTTAATTGAAGACTTTCTGTTAACTTCAAAGGCTTTGGATCAAGCACAAAATAGTTGCTGTCTTTCATTTGGGCTCTGGGGGATTTTTCCACAGTCCCCTCCCTTCTCTCTTTTCCACTCTCCGGCTTTATCCCCCTTCCTTCCTCCTCCCCCCCATCCCATCCCTCCCCCAACTATTCTACTAGCTAGAAAACACTCTGATTAGGATCAATTCATTTATTGATATAAAACTTCTGTTGCTGGTGCTAGTGCCTTTAACAGAGCATAACTAGATAATTACTTTTGTGGATTTTTAACATTCTTTGTTTATGAAAATATTTTGCTTGCAATCCATAAACCATAGAGAAAGAACTACTGTATGAATCAGTCTTTTGTGTAATAGCAATGTGATGCTTCATTGGCTTTCTGTAATACACTTATCATTAATTCTTTGCACTTAGCTGTTTTGTGGTTTGATTTTGGCAACCTTGCAGGAAAACAGCTGGTGTTCTTGAGGGAACCATGAACATTTTCCTTTAAACAAAAAAAAAAACCAAAACCTGAATTCTGATTGTTAGCATTCTTGAAATTAGAAATTGTATGTAGACAATGTGTAATCAATGTGTAATTATTGTGGGAATAAATTAATGATGTTTTAATCTGTTTAGGAAGACTTAATGATCGTCTGATAATACCTCTCTCCTTTTCTTCATTGCTTTTAAGTAACATATGGTCAACTTCAAAACAGTTTTAGGAACCCAGAATCGTTGTTACCTGTTTTTACTTTAGAATGAACACACATTACCTTGTGTGTTTGAAGATGGTTCCATTCTTCAGCAGTGTTTATGCTGGGTAGCAAAACAATAATTCTCCACCCTAGGCATTATGTTGCAGGTCCTTTCTTATTTCGGTATGGAAATAAAGACAGTGATTTGCATAGCTGTTACCAATTTCTTTATGCAGTAGTTTCATCTGCCAACATCATTTGTTTTTTGGCAATGTGTTACATTGATTTAACACTGCTCAATAGAACTGGATTGATGCTGGGAATCAGTGTTGCAGTGCTGGATTCCTTCTGTCTCCAGCATTTTGATTCTGCTTGAATGGAAGATGCACTGAATGTATGAAACCACTGTTTCCTGAGAGTTTTCCCTGTCAAACACCAGATGTTAACTTTAAACAGGAATGTCTGTGGTCTTTCTAACAATACTAATGTAGAATTTTGCATTCAGTGATGAATATCACATTCAGGCATAAATACT